AAATAATAATTTTTATTTTTTGGTTTTTTTTTTGTCTTTTTGAGACAGGGTCTCCCGCTAACCCCAGCTGTCCTGGAATTCGCTATGTAGACCAGGCTGGCTTTGAACTCACAGAGATCCACCTGTCTCTGCCTCCCGAGCACAGGGAAGGGCTAGTGCTCAGACTTTTGAGTAGTTTCTTAAAGGCCACCAAAGCAGTCTGCTTTGGTACAGATGCTACAAATGGTAGATCAGAGTGTGTGAGGCTCTCTGCCTTGAAATCAGATAACCACCCACACAGATTGTCCAGTCTAAAGATCTCAAACACTGTTTGCTTTTCCTCCTTTCCCCCGCTCCCCAACCTCCCTCCATTCATGAGTCATACAGGGGGCAGTCTCCAATTTATTTTGTCATCCATACCTAGGTGGGCATACAAAGAAGACTGAAAAATAATCCTTGTTTATTTTTATTTGATTTTGGCAGAAAAATGTTCATATAGAACTTCAAAGTTATTCTAAGATAAAGCAGTGCTGCTTGTGATTATGCATTTGCATGACCCTTGTGTTCCTCTGGAAGCTGGGGAACGCTTGTCTGAGTTGCACAATCATAATTTCCAACTTACACACAGAGGTCTTTGGTTGTATATATGGGAACACTGGGCTCAGGGAATCACCTTCTCTGGGTTTTCTTTCAACACAGGTCTCTCTCCCTGCAGAGTTTGCAGTCATGGTGCATTAACCTCTCTTATGAGAAACAAACCAAATATAACCAGCACACACAAACTTATACCAGATATTCACTAGTCAGTGTTTGAAAATGAGGGTATGTGTCTGCTTCATTGAATTTGGGAGCAGTTCAAGGTTAATTAAAACAAACCAAAACAATTTGAGAATTGTTTAGTTTGTTCAAAACAATTTCAGAATGCTGATCATCAAAGAACTTGAAAAACACCTGTAGCTACAGAGTTTTCCTACTCTTTTTATGCCAGGTGGGTTGCTCCTTTAATTCCACTGGAAACTTACATTTCATTTTTGATAGTCATATAGCCAATTGTTTTACCTGAGTTTGTCTGTTTTTGGTCCTATCATTTCTCAAGATATTTACTGATGTTGGGCACATCGAAGGTCTTTACTATGCACTGGCTACTATTATGTCCATGGATTAACAGTAAATATTATTCTTCCAAAGCATTTCACAACCTCATTGTCCTTTTTCATTCTGTTAACATGATGCAAATGAGTAAGAGATCTCAGATCCTTTTGTCCCATGCACTTTAAAGATCTTAAATCATTCTTGCCATCACATCTTTAACTCACACTGTTCTATTTTTTAAACAAAAATATTCTTGAATTTGAAATTGCCATTACTTGTGATCTGATGTTTAAAATGTTAAAATGAGTTTAAAATGTTGTGCTGAAAATAAATCTGGGGAGTGAAAGTAAAATACTAAGTGTTGATGAAGTTTTTTGCTGGGCTCTTAGATGAGGGAAATGTTCCCTCAAGTAATGTCATGTAGATGGAGGACTCACCATAACTACCAGATGTTTTTCTTATTTTTTAGGAGACGCGGAGAATTTTTTGAACTGATAAGAAAAAATCAATTCAATTTTGAAGATCCTCTTCAAAAGGAGTTATTTTTGTAAGTTCGTTTACTATTATTACAAGTCTTGCTGGCCAGTTAATTTCTTCAATATCAGTTAATTACAGTTGCTTGTTGTACATGATCTTTGAGGCTGTCAGACTTCTCCAGAGTGCTGTGCAAAGGACTGGATATGTACATTTACTTGATCAATGCATTGGCCAGTTCAAGTGAATAAATTGTCCCTTTGTTGTAGACTGATCCTTAGAATGCAAGAGAATAGTGACGTGTTAGTGCCTGGAAGGCTCCTGTTTCGTTTCAGGATTTGTCTTCATCCTCAGTGACCCTGTCCTCTAGCTGTAGATACGATCTCTGCTGTCGCTTTCTACAGATCACAGGAACCAAGAAGCCAGCATGATCTCAGCACTTGGAAGCTGAGGCAAGATCATTACCATAAATTCAAAGCTACCCTGGGCCACAGAGTGAGACTCTGTCTCAAAATACAAAATAAAACAAAGGCACTGAAAGTCAGCAGAAACTGAAGGTGCTGAGAAACTAAGGATGGTGGTGATACTTGTTACAACCAAGTTTCCTTAAATAGATCGAGATTGCTTAGGCTGCAAACTAAATAATGCAAATTAAAGGAAAACCATATACAAATACCTACCTGCCTGTTAAGTTGCAGTCATGCTTTTCTTAGTAACATCAACCTGTCTTTCAAAATAGCACTTGGGAAAGCACAGGCCTGCTCCTGTGATAAGTGAAGACTTAATAAAAATGTTTAAAATTTGTAAGAGTGAGCATGGTGGTGGTGCACGCCTTTAATACCAGCACATGGGCGACAGAGGCAGATGGATCTCTGAGGCCAACCTGGTCTACACAGAGAGTTCCAGGCCAGCTGGGAATACAGGGAGACCCTGTCTCAAAAACAAATAAAAATAATAAAAATAGGAGCTCGAGAGATGACTCAGCAGTTAAGAGCACTGGGTGCTCTTACTAAGGACCCAAGGTTCCATTTCCAGCACCCGCATAGAGGCTAGCAAACTGTCCATAACTCCAGTTCCATCTGATGCCTTCCTCTGATTTCTGTGAGCATTACACAACACAGGTGCCTTACATACCTGTAGGCAATACACTCATACACGTAAAAAAATAAAAATAAAAAAAAATTTTTTTGGAAAAAGACGAAAAACTGAAATTTACAAAAGAGAAATATAACATAAGCGCCAAGTAGGAGCCAATTCTCAGCCTCTGGCCTCTCACAGAGAAAGATGTAGTGGAGGTCCTTTGGGCACATCATCGCTTTGGTCAGGTACAGTTATGCTGGCAAGTATGGTCGAAATCCTTCCCAACAGTCGGCTCCAATAGTGATTAAATATCTCCAATGCACTCATTTTTGGTGAGAGTCACTGTAAGAGAGAACAGCAGAGCTATGGCCTCCTCCTTAGGGAGGCTGTGCTTTAGGCTGAGTTTCTCTAGAAGGACAAATGATACTTTGCCTTGAGTGTTTGCAGGCATGGCCTTTTAACCTATTTCTTAAACAAATTAAAGGGATTGTTTGACAGATAATTGGATCTGACTTAGGAAAATCCTATGCTAAAGTCAGACATTGGGCTTAGCAGCAGAATTGGTAGAGAACTTACCTAACGTTCAGGAAGCCCCGGGTTCAGTCCCCAACACTGCATAAAACAAATGTGGTAGCCCATATCTGTAATCCTAGTATTTGAAAAATGGATCAGAGTTGAAGGTCATTTTGGCTATCTAGAGAGTTCAAGGTCATCATAGAATGCATGGGATCCTGCCCCACCCCACCAAAAATCATTTTTACATAGTGCATGCAATAGCTTTAGTTTTCTGCTCCAAAGCAGTTCCCTCTCTAACTAGAGCCTGGGCACTGGGTGGAACCCTCCACTCTAACCAGAGAAGGGCCGACAGCATAATCTCACTTGTGCTTTTTTTTCCCCAGAGGAAAAGAGCCCCTTCACGCAGAGTCTTTACCACTCAAGGCTTTTTGCATAGAAAGCCCTGCAGGTTGGTGTGTGAACTAAGGGGCCCACTGTAAACTGGGCTCTTTTGGATGGACTGTGATGTTACCTTTCACGTTCACTGGTGCTTCATCAGTGTGTTTTGTCTCATTACCACTGAGAATGGCTACCAATGTGAATAGTGACAGCAACAGACTTTACCCCAAGGACAAACTCCAGCAGCTTGTAGGGCAGCCAAAGCTGAGAGACTGGGTCACGCTTGCAGCAGTCAGGATGCTTTGTAAGCTGTTTGTTTTTTGCTCTTCATAATTTTGTCTTCTATTGCTAAAAAGGTTTTAATTTAACTTTTTATGAGTAACGATTTACTGAGGGTGTCTATTCACGTAAAAGTAAGTAAGAGTTTGGTTTTATTTTCTTCCCTTGACAGAGCCATGCTTATGACTGCATGTGATCTTTCTGCAATCACAAAGCCCTGGCCTATTCAACAACGGGTATGTTGCCTAGTGATGATCACAGTAGTATTGAAAGTCAAAATAAGAAAAGTCTTTGCATGTAAAGGTAGCGTTTAAAGTCAATGGTTATACAACTTTTTTTTTCCTAATTTTAAGCAGTGTTAAAAACAGATAATTGAATGTGAAAACACTTCCGTTTTTTAGGAGATTCGTGTGCACGTAATATTTGTATGATATGTTAAGAAAGATAGTAAAGAAACCTGTCGCTGTTTTAACTTCAGTTTATTCACTTCTTGATCCTTCTGGAATTTTTAAGTATATCTCTTTCACAATCTTGAATATTAGAAAAAGAAAAATTAATTTTCTTTGGATCAGCCTGTTCAAGGAGGCATTAACAAGTAAGTTCAGGAAATGTTGGTAGAAGATGCCGAGGTCATCAAGAAGCCAGAAGTAGGTCCTTCTTTCTAAGTGAAAAATCACTGTTGTAACTGTAGGGCCGGAAGGGCTCCAGAAGTGATTGAATGTGCATTGTTATGTGTGCAGCTATCAAGGATTGTTGGCCAGATATTGATCATGGACACAGCAAGTGCAGGATGAAACCCAGATACACAGGGAACACACTGACCTGGGGGCTGGGGGTGTGGCTCAATATACAGCCCTTGCCTAGCAGGGACAAGACCCAGGGCTGTATCTTCAACACCAGCAGGAGGACCCCGCTCCTTCATGAGTCCATATGATATGCTGTAAGCACTCTGGAAAGGTGGTCCTTATAGCTTCTGATGGATATTAAATAGGATCCTGTGCCCATTCGCAAACGAAGGAAGAAAATTGAAGGGGGGTGCATTTCTTCTTATCCTTCTTCTGAATTAATCCTTTTACCCATTGTGTCACTGAAGAAAAGTAAAAAGAAGAAAAGTTTTAAAAATAGTAAGATTTAAAAGAAAAAATACCAAAAGCACCAAGGAGAGAGGGATTTATAGAAGTTGGAGAGAGTATAATGTAATCATCAGAGAGCCTGTGGGAACACGGACTGTGACAGCTGAGGTTGCTACTTCCTACCTAGCATTATGCCTGGACATGTTGCTTCAGATCTGGACTCAATTTCTCTTTTTTATTTTATTTATTATTTTTGTTTTTGTGTATGAGTGTATTACCTGCATGTATTTAAATGCACCTATGTCATGCAGTGCCCGCAGAGAGCATCAGATCCCCTGGAGCTAAAGGTACAGGTAGTTGTTTGCCGCTATGTGGGTGCTGGAAACCGAACCCAGATTCTGTACAAGAGCAGCCAGTCCTTTTTAACTGCTCAGCCATCTCTCCAGCCCCTGGACTCGATTTCTTCATCTGTAAAGTGGAGACATACCTCTCCTAAGACTGTTGTGAGGATATAAGGACAATGCTTCATCCAGAGTACATAATGTTCATGGCTGCCCCCACTGCCCTTCTGCCCCTGCTGCTGATGAAATCCCAGGGGCACTGAGCAGGGAACAGAGAATAGCTAGGAAAAGACATGGAGAGGACCTGAGTCCTCTTCCCAGCACCCACAAGTAGCGCCAGGCATCCTTTGTATTCTTAATCTTTCTAACACATGGGACCTGTAGCTGAGTTCAGACTGATGTGAAGTTCTACAGTACAAAGTGATTTCCACTATGTTGGTAAAACTAAGGAGAAAACAAGTATATGATCATAACCACAAATACAGCAATGACAGTTGTCAAAATGTAGTGTCAGTCCATGCTAAAAATGATACATCTTTAAAAAACTAAAGTAACCATTAATTCCAATAATATAAATTAAGATTTTATGTTGGAGGTATTAGCCAATGGAATTAAATAGGTGGAAGAAATTAATAGTCTTAAGGATTAGAAATGAAGACGTAAAACTATAATAAAGATAAAATTATTAGGTAGCTAGAAAATACAAAATGAACCATGGAAAAACCAAACAAGCAAATCAACTAGCTGTAATGAAAAGACCTTATTTGTGATCAGGAAAATTAAGCAAATATTAATAAAATATCCAAATATAAACTAAAGAAATTATAATAACTATGAAAATAATACAGTTTGTGTTACAAAAGCATGAAATTAGATGAGTGTAAATGAAAAAGTGTGCCACGTTCATCAAAAATCATCATTGTCAATGTGTGGTGTTTTTGTCCCTTCTGTGTATTACTGTATAGATTTAATGCAATTACAATAAAAAATGACTGTCGTTTTTGTTCTAAAGGTAGGCAAATTGATTTTAAATTTCATTTGAAAGAGGGAGTAAAAGAAAAAATATCCAAGAAAATCCCGAAAAGACAGAACAATGAGGCTGGGGCCCAGGTGTAGAAATAATACAAGAAACTCTCTAGAAATAAAACAGTTTAGTGTTGTAGAAGATCAGTAAAAGTAAAACAGGAGAAAACCTAGAATTGCATAGAACCCTGAATATGTAATATAGTGTTTTAAGTAAATGGGAAAAGGATAGACTTTCTAAACAGTGTTAGAATAAATAGATAACCAGATGGAAACGCTGTTACCAGGTGGATCCACTGTACAGAGAAATTCCAAATGAAACATCAAATCAGTGTAGAGAATTAAACCATACAAGTACTAGATTAAACACATAGATGAGTTTTTCTATAACCTGTAGAAAATTTTCCTAACTATAGCTTAACATTCAGAAAGACTAATAAACTTGATGTTGTAAAAACAAAGTTTGCACAGCTAAAGATACCACAGGCCTAGTAAAAGACAATGAAAAGCTGATGAATGTTTGAAACCCAAATCTGATTATTAATATTCTTAATATATAAAGAACTGAAAGTATAGAAAAAAAAAAAACAGCGAACTACTTTACAGGGAAAAAAACTAAAGATCTGAAGAGAAAGTTGGCAGAGAAAAGAGTGAGTGGCCGTTACTGATTGGAGAAAGTTCTCAGAACCTCATCGTGAGAGAAAATGCAAACTAGTACTTCACCGATACCAAAGACTTGAACAGAATTTCCTAGCAGCTTTATTCCCAATAGCAAGAAACTAGAAACAGCTCGAACGCCTGGCAGTAGAACAGATTAATATGTTGCAGCGTAGTCCTTCATATAATGAGACACTGCTCAGCAGTAAGAATAAATGCATGGTTGGCAGGTACATCATGAATGGCTCATAAACACTGTGCTGAACAGAAAAGCCATACACGAAGAATGCGTACCCGGATTTCATTTACATGAAATTCTGCAATAGGAAAAGTAACTTTTGGTGAGAGGTGTTATAATGGAAGTTTAGGGAGGGAAGAGGGAAACGGGGAACAGAGAATAGCTAGGAAAAGACATGGAGAGGACCTGAGTCCTCTTCCCAGCACCCACATTGGGTAGCTCACAACCGCCTGTAACTGTAGCTCCAAGGAACCTGGCACCCTCTTCTGGAAGTCTTGGGCACCTGTATGCACATGCTCATACTAACACAGACACACACACATACACACATAAAGAAAAATACATCTTAAAAAATATTAATAAGGTGTGTGTAATCAAGGAGTAGGTGATCTGTGTAAATGAGTGGAAGTGTTCTATAAATGCTGCTTTGTAAACAAGAACTTCACTTGAGGTAGGCGTAGTGGTTCATGCCTATAATCTCAGCACTTAGGAGGCTGAAACAGGAAGATGATTGAGATTATGAGGCCAGCCTTTGCTACACACTGAGCACCAGGCTGTCCATAGCTACATAGCAAGACCTTCTGCTAAAAAGAGAAAAAAAATTACTAAGATACTGTTTTTCAACAGATAACAGAAAAACCACAAGTTTTATAACATTCAGTTTGGGAAGTTACGGACAAACAGAATGTGACACTACGATCCTTTGAAAGCATATAAATACAGATACACACTTGCCATTGCATCTGGAAATCTCCTTCCCAAATCATAAGAACATAAAGAAAAACTTACATTCTTATAAGGGTGTTCTGTTGTGTTATTTTACGATTGTTTGTAATAGCAAAAAGTGGAAATAACCCTACCATTAATCAGTAAGGTAATGACTGAACAAGTCACTACGTTTCACACAACAAATTTCTGTGCGACTGGAAAAAGAAATGAGGAATGAACACAAAGACGAAGTATTAAAAAGGCAAGCTAAGGCAGGGTCTGGTTGCACACACCTTCAGTCCCAGCACTCGGAGGCAAAGACAGAGGCAGGCAGATCTCTGCAACTCTGAGGCTAGCCTGGTCTACATAACAAGATCCAGGCCAACCAGGAAGAGTGAGAAAGAAAGAGTAAGAAAAAGTTAGTTTCTTACAGAGGAAGGACAGAGGGGGAAATATATATATAAATATATATATTATACATATATATGTATAATAGCTAGAGTTCTTTGAAAGAATGTATTGTGTGCAGTACGTAAATTCAACTTTGGTACTGTAAGTCTTTCTAATTACCAAATGGTTTTCCTAATTATAAAATAAGCTTGAATATGTTTTTAAGAAATACTAGACTGGACCAGCCAGATGGTTCACCAGGTAAAGCCTTTTGTCCCCGAACCTGACAACCTGAGTTTGATCCCTGGGACCTACATGGTGGAAGGAGAGAACCAGCTCCTGAAAGTTATCCTCTGACATCCAGTCGTGGTATACACCACACACAGGCATACACCACACACAGGCATACACCACACACAGGCATACACCACACACAGGCATACACCACACACAGGCATACACCACACACAGGCATACACCACACACAGGCATACACCACACACAGGCATACACCACACACAGGCATACACCACACACAGGCATACACCACACACAGGCATACACCACACACAGGCATACACCACACACAGACATACACCACACCACACACACACACACACACACACACACACACACACATAAGTAAAATATAAAACTTTAACAAAACAATAATTTCATTCATTAGGTTTTGGTGCTCGGGATGAAACCCAGAGCCTTGTGTTCGCTAAGCAAGCACTCTTTCAAACAGTAATTTGCCCTGTCTAAAGAGTGATCTACTCTAAAAACAAAAATAACGATAAAAGTTACTTTTGCTAATCATTATTAGTGGTAATTTCATACTGAAACTCGACCCATGTTGTAGGTGATGTGGACTAACAACAAATAGTGTTGAGAATTTTCAGCATGAATGGGAAGATTAACACTAAAATAGACCCCTGTTGTCCCAAACTTGAATTGGAAATATTCTGTGATATTATTTTGCACTCTCAGTTGATCCCCTGAAAGCACTTAAAGACAATGACAAGCCATGAACACACCTAGTGCTGGTCTGAGGCTTCTAAATACCTCAGTTTAAAGGCTCCATGGCTCCATCAAGATGTGGTCAGTGCATCTCTGAGCAGGAAGATGAGCGGAGAAAATCTTGTTATGCAGAAAGCAGGGAAGTTAGCTAAAACTAGTGGGGTTGTGTCTAAAGAATGGAGACCCAATTTCAGAAGCTTGCAGTGGCCAAAGGGGGGACTCTGAGCATCAGTAAGGACTGAAATATGTAAATATGCTTAAACTCAATAATTCAAAATAATTTTTTTAAAAGTTAGTAAAAACAAAACCTTCTATAATCACCTTTGGTAAATTCTTAAGAACCAAGCATTTAAATGGGTTCACTGGGAGAGAACCAAGCATTTCTTCTGTTTTCATAAATATGGATTATACTGTAGCATAAGTCAATAACTAACGTAGGAAACTTTCACTTTATTTCAACTATTAAAAGAAACCTAAGGAATGTTGGCTTGTGCAAACCCCTAAATTAACGGACTTCATCAAACATCAGTAGCAATTGCCAGTATCACAAAAAGAGAGGCAGACACCTTATAATCGACCACTGATGGAAGTCTGCAGCACTGCGCATAAGGAGCCAGGGCTGAAGACAAAGCAGAATGTCAGTACTAGTAAGTGGCATCACAGGAACGTAGAATCCAGACTCTGAGAAACTGTAGATAAACGATCCACTGTGTTCATCAACAACAGAAACCACAGGGAAAAGTTAAAAGAGAGATTATGAGAAACTTGAAAGCTAGTTAAAATGCAGAAGCCTGTTTGACAGTGTTTTCGCACACCTTTTATAAACAGGGGCTTAATAAAGAGCTTGTTGATTATGCGTCCCCGTGGCCACAGTCTTCCAGAGCGTCAAAACCGAAACGTGTTGTCTCACGCTTGGTTGCAGATCATACACTCTAGTCTTGTGATTATATGTTTAAAAGAAATGAAATCGTTTCTGTTACTCATTCTGCTTTATCTTAATTTGACTGATGTAGTTGAAAACGGCAGATTTAGTAGATTTCATCATCTTCACCCGGGTCTGTTTGGAAGAGGGGCATGCTTGTCCCTGTGGAAACTCACTCTGCTCTTTATTTCAGATCGCAGAACTTGTAGCCACTGAATTTTTTGATCAGGGAGACAGAGAGAGGAAAGAACTCAACATAGAGCCCACTGTGAGTATGACTCTGTTGGTAGGAATTCTCTGCTGCATTATTAAAGTCCCCGCACTCATTTTGGAGACAGTTCTCACTGTGTACGTCAGTCAGGCTGGTCTCTAGCCTTCTGCCTCAGCCTCTCGAGTGCTGGGATTGCAAACAAGTGTGGCCACACGTGTCCCGATCCTATACTTCCTTTCAGTGCCTTTATGAAATTTCCTTGGGAATGCAACTTCATTTTATTTTTAACCCTTTTCCTGTTTAGAAAAATTATGCATGTTGACTACACAAAGTAAAAGTAATCTAAAAAGACAGAAATGTCTCTTAAAAAGCATGTTCCAAATTATCTTGTAATTTGTTTTTCCATTTAAATATAAGCTGCTTTCATTGTAATAGATGGCCATTGGTGTGTTACTGGTCATAATTACGTGAAATAAATATGACTATGACTTACTTCACTCCCCTGGTGTAGTGATACTTGTTGCGTTCACTGTGACGGACAGCACAGTGATGCATAAGCGTGTTGCTGCCTGCTACGTGCGCTTCTTTATTATCTTGCTAGAGCACATTTCCAGAAGGGAGCACAGACTTTTAAATGTTTGCATACTATAGGACAATAGGTCTCAAATACAAGAAATGCTTTCTTCAAACCATTTATTTCTTTTAGAAATAAAATGCATATTCTTACTTTTCTAGTTAAGTTTGGGGATGTGTCTTGTTGCTGTCCGACCTTTTGAAGCTAAGTCACTGATTTGTCTTTTTAGAGCCAACCTTTACTGTGTTCTTTGAATACATGTAGATCTATCTGTGTGTGTATTTTCAGGATCTAATGAACAGAGAGAAGAAAAATAAAATCCCAAGTATGCAAGTTGGGTTCATAGATGCCATCTGCTTGCAGCTGTATGAGGTAGGTACAGGAATACTACTAGACTTGCTAAACCTAGATTGTGTTAACAAATTAAAAAAACAAATAAATTGAAGAGATTAACACTAGGCACGTATTTTTTACATCTAAGTCAATAAATATAATTATCATGAGTAATGTTTCTTTCACTGTTGAGCATAATGTCTGCGTAGAACAAGGAACGCATTACATTTCCTGTTTCACAAAGCCGTTGCCTCACTCGGTGTGTAAATATTCACCGAGCACCTGTGCTAGGTTCCGACGCACTGACTTAGGGATGCACAGACGCATGTGCCAGTGCTGCCCTCAAGGTGATGCTTTGAGCAAACTCTGCTCGCATTATCCTTTTTAAGTTAAATTTTTACCTAGGGATGAAAAATAATTATCCAACTTCTGTCACTGTCATACTGTGGCTATGATATTGTTAGGAACTTTTTCCAAGGACGGAAAGGAGGCGGCTGCGAGCCTAGTACAGCCTTTCCATACTTCTGCCAGTTTTGCTTCTTTGCTTTGAGTGGGTTTTGTTGTTTGGATAAAAAGATTGGCCTAAGATAACTGCTACACTAGCTGAGATGTTTACAACCCCAATACAGAAAGTAGGTACTCTCTTTGTCTTTAAAAATTCAAACGGGAACTGGAAAGATGGCTCAGCAGTTAAGAGCACTGGCTGCTCTTGCAGAGGACCCGGGTTCGATTCCCAGCATCCACATGGCAGCTAACAACTCCAGTTCCAGGGGATCTGATGCCCTCATCTGACCTGTGCTCATCTGACCTCGGCAGGCAGGACCCTTGCAGGACACGGGTGTACTTACACACATACAGGCAATACACTTATACACATAAAATAAAAATAATAAATAAATTTTTTTTTAAATTCAAACATTCAAATTGTATTTATTTGAGGAAAGAATATTTACCCTAGCGTTATCATAGAAAGTCAGGACCAGAAGAAAACTACAAATTTTCCAATACAGACATTGCAGATTTAGTAACTGAGATTTGTAATGGTCATCTACAGAGAGAGAATATTTGCCCCAAATGTGCAGTTAGTGGAGAGATGCATCTAGAGTCCAGCTCTCATCCCTAGTCCGGGGTTCCATCCATCAAAAGATTTAATAAACAGTCTGCGTGATGAGAAGGAGGAGGACGAAAGGGCAGAAGACACCCAAGGAAACAGGGAAAGGGCCACCCTGTGTCCACCCTGCACCACTGTCTTCCGTTTGTCTAGTTTACGCCTTTATTTATAAAGTTGTTCCTCCGCTCTTTGGAACAGCACTCCCTCACCTCAGTCTTTGCATAGCAGATGCTTTCCCCTGTTGGCTAGATAAGCGCTCTTTCCATTTCCCATCTTAGTACATGCAGAAGGAGCACTAGTCAGTGAGCCATTCCAGATGCACCCTGCTTTGTTCTGTTGACATATGGCTCTTTACGCTTGAATCTGCCTTTGGAAATTCTGCATGATCCTGAAATGTCTTTGTCAGTATTACAAAACTAAGTGAGTTCTCATTGCCAAACAATCAGGGAGTCCTGAGAAGTGAGATAAAACCCTGCAATCCTGCTACGTACCATAGCAGTAACCACTAATCCTAGTACATGCCTTAAGGTAGTTTCATGTCCCTTTCATGTAAAAAAAATTTATTTTTGAAATCCATAATATAATAATATAATATAATATAATATAATATAATATAATATAATATAATATACATAGTTCCTTGTGAAATGTGTGCCTGGGACATTTGTGATGATATAAAATACTTTAGTTAAGCTTTGTTATTGGGTATTTGTCTCTATTACAAAAAAATCTACAACAAATGTTCTTATAGCTAAGTATTTATGGCACTATACTTGGTATTTAATAATGTCACCACATTATCAACTAACCTTTATGATCTTTGCATAAAAAAGAACATTGCATAAAGCCATTGTATATGGAGCACTGGCACTAAGTATCTTCCTACAGTCAGCCCTGGGGAGAGCCAGCTTGCATACAGGCAGTTTATCACCTCCCCGAAAACAGGGTCCACACCGATGAGTCCCTGGAACTCAATGCTACTTACTTTAAGATTTATTTTTAATTGTGTGTTATATTTACATGTCTGTGTTTAGTTATGTGCGTGTGAGTATGGGTGCCTGCAGAGACCAGAGGCCTAGAGATAGAGTTGGTCCTATGCACCAAACTCAGGTTCTCTGCAAGAGTAGCACATGCTCTTAACCGCTGAGCCATCTCCCCGGACCCTTCAGTGTTACTTTGGCACACTGTGCTTGCTTTGTCCCTAAATATGCCTTCCTTATCTGTAGAGCTTAAGGGGAGTCCTTGGTAAATAGTCTGTGTGTTTATGCAACTTATGAGAATGCTAACTATGGAGCTGCTCACAAAATGAATGTGACCCTTGGTAATAAGCCTGTGAGGACCGATTTCCTGGCTTCCTTCTAGTGGTTTCCTTTCTTTCTTTAGGCTCTGACCCACGTATCGGAGGACTGTTTGCCTTTACTGGATGGCTGCAGGAAGAACAGACAGAAATGGCAGGGCCTTGCAGAGCAGCAGGAGAAGACATTCATTAATGGGGAGAGCAACCAGGCCAAGCGGAACTGAGGGCCTCTTGCTCCCAGGCGCCTGTAGTAGGCCTGCTTTCACCCTACACCACTCATATTTGGGGGGCTCTTTGCCACTGCTGTATTTTATTTTTGCACAACTTTTGAGAGCATAGCCTGGCGTGTTTTAAGGGATTGTTGCCCTACTTTCTATATTTTATTTTTATGCCACTGAAGTGAAATGATTAGTTACACTCACTCTTAGCACATTGATAGGAACACTGCTGTGATGTGTTGTGTGCTGCAGAGTGTAAAAGGCATTCCTGCACTTAGCTTGGTTTTGGGGGATTATAAATAACTTTTTGAGGTTTCTGAGTTATCAGTCTTTCAAGAACGTTTGGAATGTTTGTCAGAAGTAGATTAGAACCAAATTTAATACATTTGGGGACGTTTAAAGCCATCGTGAGATAAATTGTGGCTGAGTGAATTCTAAAGAGAAATATAAACTTGTCAGAAACACCTTAACAAAGTTACGCATTGAGAAACAGGTGGACAGCGCTGTGAGGCAGTATGTAAAGAAAATGTAGCGTTGATTGCTTTGCCCATCTAGGCAGCTGCAACCCTACAAGCAGTCTGCTCTTTGCACCCCACAGAAAGCCAGGGCCAGGAGACCCTGTCACTGTCTGCCCCAAGGGAGAGTGTATGCAGATGTGGGAGGGCCCAGGATATTCCTCAGCCAAGAGAAATGTTCCATTAGAAGATAATTCTGAGAATCAACATTTTAAATATTAAACTTTAAAACGTAATTTTCTCATCTTTTATCTTCCTTAACTCGACCGTTTAAATCTCAACAGAAAAGTGGTGACTGAAGCTTTGACCGGAAGTCAGACCTGACTACACATCTGAGAGCAAAGGAACCTTCTCCCCTCTGTCAAAGAAAGTTTACAGACAGCTTTTAAGGACATAAATAGCAGAGGTCTGTCTCCACTACGGAGGTCAGAAATGAAGCCAAGGGAGCAGTAGGGTGAAAACCATTCTGCCCAAATAAAACAGCAGCGCTGGGATTCCCACACTGACACGCTTTAGTTTGCGGCATGTGGCAACCCAGAGTCGCAGAAGCTTGGGTGTGCGCAGAAGCTTGGGTGTGCGCAGCCGCTGGCCCTGAGCTCCTGCACGCTGGCATTTCTTCCCAGAGCATTCATTGTAGTCAGCATTTTCTTAGGATTTAACCTCATCGCACCTGCTCTTGAATGCGTATTCGTTCAGTATTGGAGCAGCAGATACTGGATCAAGCATCTGGTTTAGGAAAGGGATATCTGTTCCAAATGTGCGAAAAACGTTTGAATCTGGGGGGAATCCGAGGGATTTAATTTATTTCCACGATTTCCCCACCTCCTCCCAAAGGGGGTGAGGTCAATTTGGTCTGAGTTTCTACCGTTCATTTGGATTGAAAATCACTTTTGGCTGTGGTAATACGGCATTTTTGAGGACTTTTCACTAAAACATGATTTCTTTTTCCTTTACTCTTCATCTGAAATTCAACGTGTTCATTCTCAATTCTGTGTGTGTGTATTTTAATATGGCTTCACTTTTCTTCATGAGAAAAAGGCAAATGGGGTTGTGTCGCCATCACTTTACATTGGTAAAGGCTCATCTAGGATGCTGTCACCTGATGACATGCACTGTCATGCTTGTAGTTTCAAAATATTTTTATTTTGTGTTACAAAGATATCTTGTGTACCTGGGCATAAGTCTGTAAGGTCGCCTCTAGTGCACTGATGTGTAAATTACAGAGGCTGTCACTAAAATAATAGTCATAGCAACATACTTGTATACACCTATGCATGCCTACATCATTTCTTAGTGTAGACAAATTATTTAAAGAAGAGCAGTCTTTCATGAGCCTACATTTGATTCCACTCACTGTGACCTAGCAGTTTTGCTAAAAGGTAATCATACACATCTGTAGTTTGTTTCTACCCCTCTGACTTAAGTCACAGATTTTTTTTAAGATGATAAATTGTGTGTGGAGGATTTGTCATTTTAATAAGCAAGAAGCTCTATGTAGATTAGAAAGTGTGTGGTTTGTCTGTACATAGTGGTTTACTTTACGTACTAGAGTAGCCATTTAAATGGGAAACGCAGCGCCACGCCTATTTTATTCTAGTGCTGGATATGTTGGTTCATACAGAAGAAAGGACTTTTTTAGGACTGGTTAATTGGTTCAAATAACTTTTAATTGATATGAAAATCATTCCGTACATGGATTACTGTCTGTGCTGCCTGGGCACAAATCAAAGCATTTGTTCTTATGAGAATCTGTCCTTTCCAGTATCTTCTCCAGTTGACTATATTTATTGTATGTTACATATGTGTTCCCTCTCATGCTCCCATGTATTTATATTGCCCATAATTAACAAGAAGTTGCTCTTCCAGGTTATTTTTTTGTTTAGTTAAATGCTTGACTGGCTATAGGGAAGTAATACGATATGATTTAACGTCAATATTCAGCCAGAAAAGCCCCCGCTAATTTAGTAACTTGTTGAAGGATGTCTGTAAAATCAGCTGGCCTTACGTATTCTGCAGAAAATTCGCCTTTGCCAGGCCTGATACTGTGTGAATTTTGGTAAGTCACTTAGCATCCTCACCTGAGGAAGTTGCGCTTCTAATGTAGTTAGGTTTGGACAAAGCTTGTCTTCAAGGGGAGCATTGCAGGCAGCAGCTATCTCATAGCCTGACGGACCTTCGAGACCACTGTTGGAAATGATATTGAACTAGAGAATGACCTCATCCCACAGATCATGTTCTGTGTTGAGTTTCTAAACAACACATTTATTCCACTGCACACACGGGCTGTGATGCACACACAGGCACTCTTCCAGTGCCTGGCCTCAAGGTATGAAGCTGTCACCACTGCTCTGTTAATTATGAAGGAGAGCTTCCTTGAATAGCAGCGTTGGAGATAAAGTATGTGAACATAGACTAGAAATGCTGATTTCTTGGAGGAAATTTTAGTCACAGATGCTTTTTTCCTACCAGTAAAGTGCCTTTATTTTCAACATATTGCAAAACAGTGAGACTTAGCATCAATTACAATTTTATTTCCTCTGCTTCTCACCAGACTAGACTCCTAAAACTTACCAGGCAAGTAATGTGGTCTTATTAACATGATCCAAGATGGAAAAAGATAAAATAAAATTCCTATAAAGAGTTGTTAAAATAAGGTGGCATAATTTACTTACTCAGTATTGAACGTGCATCAGCCCACCATTTATTAAACCTTAGATACAGTGCTCTGCAGAGATAAAACAGTGTCAGCAAGGAGATTGCACCCATGCAGGAGAAACAGGATAAGGGAACACCACTGCTCATTCTACCAACTTAACACAAAAAGAGGACATTGCGTCACCTTCATTTTCATCTGTAACATACATACTATGCACTTTTAGCTGAAATCTCTTAAGAATGTATTACTGAACACCCTGTCTTCCTGTCAGCATGAATCATTTAACTTGTTGACAGCTGGAAGTGCACCTTCTGTAACGGGTCTCGTCTTCCACTAACAGTGTTCCATATTCTGACAGGGACAGATGGTTGTGTTCTCATGAACTATTAAGCTGCAGTTTTGCCCCCTTCTGTTCTACCACAGAGAGCAAAATAAGTAGTAATAAAGGTCACTTTGCCCTTCTATATTCTTATCAAAAGCCTGTGTAAACATGTCTTGAATATTGTTGAAAGCAGTGTAAATATTTAAAAATATAAATTTCTATTACAGCTTAAGAAATCTTAGGAATCATCAATAGCCACTGTTAATATCTATTTGTATTCTTACACCTTTTCAATGTATTTGAACAAATATATGGTTTCTGGCACTATTTTTATACTAGCATAAAAGAGTTACTATGTATATTATGTTTTGTTCTGAAGTCATTTAAAATAATTTAGATGCTGGTCTCTTTTCTTTCCTCTCCCACACTGAAAACCATTTCAGAGAACTTGGTGGAAAAGTCAACTTTATGGGAGCACATACCAACCCAGCTGTGGTCCCCATGAAGTCAGAGATGGGTAATGGCTTTTCAGTGCGCAGAGTCCTTCACCTATCACTTGTTTTCCATTTTGCAATGCTTTGGGAAAAAAAAAAAAATGAACAAACACGGACCAACTACTGTGTAATCACTAGGCACTTGGAATTCTAAGGTCAGGGAATTGGCAGGGAACTTTGGATCTTATGCAGGGAGAGCCGACCCAATATATAGTGTGAGGGAATTCATTCAAAATAACCCGTGCTCTTTGTGGGTTGATAATGAACGTCCTGCCCTCACCTAGACTCTTCAATAGTAGTCTCCCTTTTAGCCGTGTGCTTTGCTACCAATTTTAGGGCAGTGTTTTCCACCTACCTTTGCGCTCATAACAGCACTGGAGGATAATGTGATTATCCCAGCCTTGGGCCTGTGAGGAGCTAAGAGTTACATTCTTGCTAAGTGGCGTGAGCTGGAGTCAAGCCCAGATCTGCAGATTCAAAGCCAGTGTTTACACCACTTGTTTCTCTTTTTTAATTTAAAAATTTTAAAGCCCCACATCCATTCTTACTGGATCAGATGGGCTGTCTAGAAGCATTAGAAACGTCTCAACAGATTTTGTGGTTATCATTCCTCCATTTAGTTTGCCCAAGAGAGGTTAATGTAAGGCCTTCACGGGATTCCTGACACTGCTGTGTATTAGCATTGCTGGTATAAAGCCACAGATGTACCATAGGTCCAGAATCTCTCACTTCCTTATTTTTGCCACTTGGCAACAAGTCCTTCTCATGTGGAGAGAAGAACGTCTGAGTTACGCCTACTTCACAACCTGGAGTGCAGTACACATAAAAGAGTGCTTTAACCTTCTTGCCACTAGAGGGCGCCAGAATTGCATATGTATTTAAAGAATACTGACCAAGAAGAACAAAAACTGGTTTTTCCAGTATTTTAGGTGACTAGCAAAAATACATGAAAAACATCCCATAGAGAATTCTTAAGTAGTGAAGAAAATATTTTTTATGAATTGTTTAAAGATGTATTTATTGCCCTTCTTCCAGTGATCATGATGTCAGAATTTTCCTTTGAATACTTTTATACTCACTATTCCATCCGTAGGGACATCAATGCTCTCTGTAGAAATAGGCATTTAATGTGACTGAAGAGATGGCCACAGTTAAAAGCTCTGGTGGCTCTTGCAGAGGCCCTAGATTCAGTCCCCGGCACCCGCATGCAGCTAACAGTGGTTCATAACTCCAGTTGGAGAGGATCCAATGCCCTCTTCTGGCCTCTGCAGGCATTGCACACGTGGTGCACTTACATGCAGGCATACATACAAAATAAAAATAATTTTTTGTTACAGAAGCGTTTAACAATTTCCTCGAATGTACATTCCTATGATTAGCAGTGTTGCCAATCAATTTCTGTATTTAATACACAGAAATGTCAAGGTATGATTTTTCTGTTTTTAAGGAACAGAACATTAAGTCATTGGAAGCACTGAACTTGCAGAGAATATGCTCTGTGGTCTTAAGCTATATTCACCTAAAGATCGGGGGGAAGGGGGAAATGTGTCTAGTTTACAAGCCATTTGTTCAAAGTAAAAATCTCCAAGAGATACATGAATGGAGTGCAAATCATAATTATTTGAACAAAAATATAATTAAGCAGTATTCACAGATAATCATAATTGTTTTGAACTTTAATTTGTCCTGAGAGCTTAGTCTTAATTTTCCCTTCATATCACTGACTTCGTAAATGACTTACAGACATTATATGACCCCAGTCAGTATGTTCTTAAGGACTGTGCTCCCCCTTTACCAACTGGCACTCTGAAAGTCAAGAACTTTCTGGTCTCATGCTCCAGTGGATAGCCTCAGACCCATGATCATATGGGTAGCACGAATTGGACTCTGAGCTTTATAAGGAAGCAAAAGACATGAACTTGAGAGGCTTAGGGGGTCGATTTGGGAGAATTAGGGGAGGGAGTGGGCTGGAATATTATCAAGATATATTTTATGCATGTATAAAGTTCTCAAAAACTAATAAAATTATATTTCTAAAGGATTTTCTGGTCTCCTTGATTTGCCTAGACCAAGGAGAAAAGTTACAAAACACAGTCTACGAATTCTAGTTCAGTTTGCAACCACTTTTTCCAGAAATCCAATGAAAATAGCTAAGGGTGTTTTGAGCCTGCAAGCAGTACACTTGCTGGCGGATGACAGAACTGCCCATGATCATCCCCCCTGTTTCCTGAAACCTCTTTTCCTATTCTGGTTCCATCCTCTGGGCTACACACATGTTCTCCTGGCCCTGTGATCACCTGGCTACACAGCACAACCCTCCTAGGCTACTAGTATTTCTTCATACTTTAAAGGTGCCCAGCAATGATTTATTAAGTGAAAAATAGTCAACTATGATTTCTCCATAAAAATCACAAAAATTTTTAAAGATGTTAACTCTGTAATGAGCAACTTTTAAAAATCAATATAACATTTCCAAAGAAATTCTCAATTGATCAAGAGCCAAAATTTAAAATTGTAAAAGAGCTGACTAATAGAATATTCTAAGAAAATGTTTCTATTTCTACGGTGAATAATGTTAACTCCATGCTTTCTTTAGTAAATTGAGTCACTGTGGGATTACTCCTACCAAGAGTTTTTATTGCTAAGCACCAAGGAAAATGTATAAAGATGAAAAGCTAACAACCTTGTGGATGGAACTAGTTTCACATTTTAAAAATCAACAGAAGATGGTCATTCATTCCCAATTAGTTGATTCTATAATAAGTTCAGTGACTAATTCAGGCCAAAGAGATAGTTACTTCTGTGTATTGAGTATAAGGGGTGAAGGGTCTTAACTCAAACTTGATGGTCACAGTCGACTTCTTTAAGGTTGTGACGTTTAGTTTAGCCAAAATAAAGGTGAAAGATATTCCAGGCAGAGAAAATACCATGTACAAAGACCTAAAAGTAGCAGACTAGAAATTTCGAAGAGCCAGGATTGATGGCACATGCCTACAATCCCAGTACTCAGGAGACAGGTGGGAGGATCTCAACTTGAGGCCAGCCTGTGTTACATAGCAAGGACCAGCCTCAAAAACAAAGGTTCCCCTCTTCCTCTTTCCCTTTATTTCACTGCTATCTGGCCCTCCCTCCCCCACCTTTCACAACCATTTATTAGTTTCCTGACTCCTCTGGATTTTCACATGGAATGCATATCTGTGAGAGAGAACATGGAACATTCGTCTTTTGAGGTCTGGGTTACCTCATTCAGGATGATTGTTTCCAGTTTTATCCATTTACTAGCAAATTTCCTAATTTCATTTTTTTCTAATTTCATTTTTTAAAGACCTGAATAATAGGAAGGATGCGTGCGGATGGGAAGGCAGGACAGAAGAGAGCATGGGATGAGGGGGCAACCAGCACTAAAGGCCTTCAGAAAAGCTATATGGAAACCTATCACTACAGAAGCCTCTTAAACTTTATACATGCGCATCATAAAAAGTGATTAAAAGGAGTTACCTTATAACAGGACACTACCACTGCTAGGCACCATAGGCTGACAAAATAAAACCTCAGTACCAGTAATGGAATCTCTTGAAGCTGTTGAGCAGGGGTCCCATAGACCCTCAAACCATACTGGCCATGGCCCCTGCTCTTCGTTACCCACCAGAACTTGATGGTAAGACCCTATTGCTAAAGACAGTACATACATGAGCTGTAGAACAAATAAGGAGAAATCAGCTGGTGCTGACGTTAGAGCCTCCTCTCTACTGTCTAGCTTTCATAGTGCTGGAAGGTGCTGTGCATGCTGCCTGAAGGAAAAAATAGTAATCAACCTTACCCAGATATGAATCCTGTGATCTACAATAAAAGTGACCTGGCAAAAAAATGCCCACTGATGCAATAGTGGCACCAATATGGGAGTAACCAACCACTTTCTAAATGGATTTAAGGTCTACTTCATAGGATGGAGCATTGATACGTCTAGGAACCCGAGGCTAGACAGGTCACAGGTCACAGGGGAGAGCGTGATACTGGTTTTCTACTAAATAGTTAAGGCGTTAAACAGACTCCTAATGACATTGGTATATCCAATTGATTAATGCGTCTCTTAATTCTCACCAGAGATGTTTGCATGTGTTGATTAACACAGAAACCCACAACTGGCCAACATGCAGAGAACAAGAGGCTGCAGAGTGCTTATCCCTAAATAGGACAGCTATTTCAAACTTATGCTTCAAGGGTCATTGAAAAGGGGCCAGAAAAATTGTAAGAGCCAGAGGGGTGGATAACCACAAGGAAATAGTTATCCACACAGCTGGTCAGTTACTCATATGAACTCATAACAACGGTGACAGCATGTACAAATCCTACGCAAGCTCAAACAAGACAAATCCTACCATAGACATGGGGAAGTAGGTAAGAAACCCCAACCCTACTTAAGGAACTATTGGCAACCAATAGATGTTGGGAGGGGGAGAATCAGTCTCTTCCAAGGATGTGACTTTTAGAAGGTTAACCAGGCTCCAGTGGATGGACCAACATTGAAGGACATTTAGAGGCACAAATTAGACTGTACAGGATGATAGATTAGATAGATGATAGATAGATGATAGATAGATAGATAGATAGATAGATAGATGATAGATAGATAGATAGATAGATAGATAGATAGATAGATAGATAGATAGATGATAGATTGAATAGATGATTGATGATAGATGATAGATGATGATAGATAATAGATGATAGATTGAATAGATGATTGATGATAGATAGATAGATGATAGATAGATAGATAGATAGATAGATAGATAGATAGATAGATAGATAGATTGATTGATAGAGAGATGATAGAGTGCTGGATAGCTTTAGTGTCAACACAC